TCTGTCACCCTTAGGTCTATCCACTAATAAAAAGACTTCAGTAAATAGTACAAGTTACATGACCTACTGCCATTATGCAACAGTCTCTGTGCAACTCTTTAAAACTTAAATGTCAAGATGGAATCACTTCCACATACAAACTCACAGCTGCTTCAGACTTTATGTGTCATAACAGACCAGCATTGATCACATTCACATGGTCAATATGTGACATCACCTTAGCCCCGCCCCCTTTGAACAGGAAGTTACCCGTTTTCCTCTGGTGGTCATTATTTTACTGTTTGATTCATACCGATTTAGACCCGAGTCCAACGACAACATGATGCTGAATCCTTCTCTCAGCTATGGCTGCAGCATGTTGCTGTGGTAGAATGACGAATTATAATCCGTCAAAGTTTACATACTTTGAGGGATTGGCTCTAATCACACATGCATCATCCAATTTACACAAAATGAATGACCTTTGTTAACCTCTTAAGAGGCCATTAGGTTTATATGTCCATGATACATCATCTGATCTGCACCAGATTGTTTGTGTATCACCAGGGAGCTTCACTGCTTCACATACTGGTGTGGTAGTTTAATGACATCACTTAAGCCCCGCCCACTCAGGTTGGTACTGGAGTTCCTGCAGACTACAGCGTTTATTGTGAAGCACTTTGTGATTATTTATGATATTTAAACTCAGTTTTACAAAGAATGTTAATCTACAACTATGTCTTGGATGAAACACATGTAAAGTTAGATTTCCTCTAACTTAGAAAAGATTACTCTAAAACAAGAACCAAGACCCCCCAGAACGATTCCTGCATGTAAATCCAGGATAAAGAGTTTTAGTGAATTTGGTGTTGAAGGTGTAGATGTGGATCAGTGTCTCTGAAGAGACTCTGTAGAAGGACAGAGTCCCAGCAGGACAGTCCACATACACAGCTACTCTGTCAGAGGCAGAGGAGGAAGAGGAGACAGGGACGAAGGCTTTATTTCCATTGTGCCAAATGGTGTAACCATCATCTGAGCAAACTAGACTCCAGGATTTATCATTAAATCCAAACCATGAATCGTCATTGACTCCTTTTCTATTGATTCCCTTGTAACTCAGTGATACATAGACTTTCCCACCCCACTCCACCTCCCAGTAACAGCGACCAGTCAGACCATCAGCACACAGCAGCTGACAGAGATCAAATCTGTCTGGATGGTCAGGATACGGCTGCTTCTCTTCCACAAGTGTCACCTTCCTGTTTCCATCAGACAGTTTGAGGAATCTGTTCACAGTGTTTAGGTCGACTGTTAGTGGACAGAAATCTGAAAAACAGAACAAACACAATGCAGTTACTGATGTATAATTTTCTGTATTCACTGACACAAAGGTGAACATCCATGAATGGGACAGAAATGCACTTACACTTCCTCAGACCTGGTGTCAGCCATCTTTCTCCTGCAGGCTCCATGCTGTTAGAAAGAAGGTGTTTTGATGGTATCAGTATTTTCAAGATGCAAATGGACACCCTAATTTAGACCTTATTGAGTTTTTCTAAGAGTTCTTCAGTTCATCTGTGGCTGCATTTCTGTCACTATGTCTAATATTTTCTGCTAGTTTTGTTCAGAGTTGACAGTTTATTTGTCTCTCCTCCAGTTTTGTGTTATTGCTCTCATTCTGCCCCATAAGATGCATAAATAAAATAGACTGGGAACAAAGTTACAATTCCAACAGTAGAATAACCCTAACATACATAAAAAACATCATTTTTAGATCAAAGCATATTCATGTATTAGAATAGACTAGACCTAATTGGAAATCACACTTCAGTGTTTAGATTTATATTTTTAAACACAAGTCATAACTGATATGACTTGTATTTTTAAGTCATATCAGTTATGTTTGATAAATAAAAACATATCTTTCCACTTTATGTTTGTTAAAGTTGAAGGGATATTAACTTAAAATTACCACTGTTCAACATTGTTTGCACTGATATGGGCAATTAATTATTTCTCCATCTTAGCTTGATTTCCCATGATGCACCATAAGTCCTTACTGATATAAACCAGCATTTCTTGGTCTGAGGCTGGTTGAGGTATCTGGGTTTACCTACCAACACATTGATTTATCCAGATCTCCTCCTCCCTCCCCAAGGATTATTGTTCCTCAATAATCCCGAGTATCACTGTGTGGCTGCAGAAAATATTTCCTCACCTTAGAGACTCCAGTTTGAAGCTTGGATTCTTCAGTAGAGCTTCCAGACTTTCCTTTCCTGCCTGTCCTGGATTATTGAAGCTGAGGTCCAGCTCCTTCAGGTGAGACGGGTTCACAGTCAGAGCTGAAGCCAGAGCTGCACAGCCTTCCTCTGTGATCAGGCAGCCTGAAAGCCTGCAGACACAAACACACAATACTGTTGGAAAACTCACCTATATTCTCAATGTGAAGCACATGTTAGAACTTGTTTTCAGCAGGAATAATTAGATGACATGTTAAGAAACGTAGAGCAGCAGGTCTGATGAGCAGCTTTCTGCAGAAGACTGTGTGTCTGCACTCCAAAAACACAAAATCTTACCAAATATTTTTGGTCTGGTTTCCAGACTACACTTGAAATAAGACAAACTAACTTAAAAGTAACTTTTAAGCAAGATATAGAGGCTTGTTTTAAGTAAATAATTAATATTGATTTTAAAAAAGTACTTGTTCCATTGGCAAATCATTTAACTTATTACAAGATATTTTCC